GGGAATGAGTAGGTAGTGTAGATTATGGCAGTTTCACTCACACCAGACACATCGTGACTTTGTTACTTGCCCATGCTTCCTTTTGGAAGTCCTAAAGCATGGTGCAGTAACCGCCCATACTGTGCTGTATGCACCGCACATGGTTATTTTTACCATGTACTTCGCCATAGCAGCACACTATAACAGGGGAGCACGCCACTATGGGAGAGTACCTGTTGGTCACATGCAGACACCTGTGGATGCTATGTCACTATAGCGTGTCACTACAGCGATGTAGAGTCACATGTAGATGTGCCCGATATGTGGCTGACGGGGTGGATTTCAGTGCATTCCAAGGATGCCTTCTTCTCCCTCATATCCTCAATCCCCACCAAAATTACGTGTCTGTTTCTTTGAACCTGGTTACATTTTCTAAGCCAGAAGTAACTCAGCAATTTTCATTGTGGGGGGGACATTACAGTCAGGGAAGCTTCTTTCAGTTCCTTTAGCATCCTGTGAGTACCACTGGTAATGTGGAATGGTAGTAATATGGGGAGTTCTTGTCTTCGTGTTGCAACTTGTCTGTTCTCCATGCTTGATATAGTCCATAGTCAAATACATTTTTAGAAATTAGGGCTGCTTGACCTCATTTTTCCTCTCCCTTACATCTTCCTGATGGGTAATCATGCTGTCTTGGAGGATATAGGCAGTCCTTGACTCGCAACGTTTGGAGTTACAACGTTTCACACTTACGTTTATAAATTGACACCCTGTTTCAACTTTATGATAACAGTTTCAGCTTTACAACTCTTGATCAATGCGATGCCCCATCAGTGAACAAGTTTGCTGCATTGCCCATCTCCCTGGAGAACATCTGTCCAAACTTCCTTGGACACTTTCTTTAAGAAAGCAGACAAGACTCCAGAAAAATCATAGAATCAATGAGTCGGAAGGGACCTAGACAGATCATTGAGTCCGGCCCCCCGCCATGGGCAAAACTCCTGAGAAGACTCCAGCCAAGAACCCTTCAAAAAGTCCAACCAAGAACCTTTTGAAAAGTCCAGCAAAGTCACCTCAAAGAAGTCCTTCCAAATCAATATGATTGCTATTTACAATATAAATACATTAATGTAGCTATATTACTCATCTATAATTGATCGAGTACAAAATTCTGGGGTATTTTTGGTGAAAATGGGATATTGGGGCTTGGTTCAGGAATCAATCCCACATTTATAACATTGTTTCTTATGAGAAAATTGGTTCTGAGTTGCAACGTTTCGAGTTAAGACAAGGTTTTCAGGAACCAATTGTGTCCTAAGTCCGAGGACTGCCTGTAGTAGTCTGAAGCTCTTCTTCACTATGTCTCTTTCCTAGATATATCTTTTGCTCTATGTCCACAGTAAAAAACACCTTGTTAAGCAAACAAGGAAGTAATTTTTCCAAAAGGAAGCAAACTAAGAAAACTGGTGCAAACTGTAGCTGACAAACATGACTGACACATCCAGTATACATGTAGGTGTTGCACATTTCATCTGCAATACAGAGAAGGCAGTAATCCGTGGCACATTCCTTAAAGCAGGAGTGTTGAAACTTCCTTAATAATTATTGGTTGTTCTTAAACCTCACAGATATACATTTGCATGCAGACTGCAACTTGTTTGTGAAGATTTACTTACTGATGTGACTCAGAACATATTAGGCTCTGTAACTGAGTTCAGCTTGGAAACCTCAATGCAAGCATCACCACAGCAGTATTACTGCAGGAGTGCAAGTCAGGCTTTCCTTCAGGATCTCTGCAAAGCCTCCCTTATTATTTGTGTCTTGGTATAAACAACTCCAAGCAGCGGCCTAGTAAGTAGAGCTTTGGAGTTGAACTCCAGAAACCTGGATTTTATTCCCATCTCGGTACATGACATGCAGAGTGACCTTGGTCAAGTCATTTCAATGTCATGTGCCTCAGTTTCCCCACAAGTAAAATGAGAATAACGATACGGACGTCCTTTGTAAGATATTTAAAAATCTGCTGATATGAACTATTATATAAGAACTGGTTAGTAACTCTGACATTGTGCTTCTTACGACACAGTTTGGCACCAGTTCAGGACAGTCTATCCCCAGATGCTTTCATGTCTGTCAGTTTTGATTGCTGGTTCTTATGCAATAGCAAAAAACCCACTTGTTTCATCCAGCTCAGTGTTTATCATCCCATGGTACCAGAGAACTGTATGGCCATGTCTGTCTGGTAAGCTGTCCAGGCTCCAGAGCTGTACTTTCAAGCAGCCTGGGCTACATAAGGCAGGCTGCTTCCAAAAATAAAAGTAGAGTAGCTGTATGCATACATCGTGTTAGGTGAGCTAATTAGCAATTTTAAGAGGCAGTGCCAATTAGCCACACTTCCACTTTAGGAAGCAGCCTGCCTGAACCAGCACAGCACATTTGAGGATGCCATTCTGGATCATGGTAAGTTTGCTGTGTAGGTATGGCCTATGAGGAAAACCAGGGTCGTTGCTTTGTAACTTTCTATTGTACACGTATTCTAATCAAAAGTAGTACAGAATCGTTTTGTTAGGGATATAGTTGATTGACAAGGCAAACCAGTGAGATAGTATTGGCTATTTCAGAGAAAAAGCCCCACAGAAATGTATTAGGTCTACAAATGTTGACATTGACTTAAAAATCCAGAGATGAAAAAGGTTGGGGCTCTTTGCATTTGCCTCCTTGTCGTCTTTGATGCTTCAGGGTTCAGTCTCAAGGTTTCCTCTCTAGCTAGGGGGATTAGAAATCCTCTCTTTAATGAAAGCTCAGGCTCTGTGCAATCACGTGACTCTCCAGAAGCTGAGCATTTAAGGGGGAGGGAAACCTTCAAATATAGCAAGACCCGTGACAAAATTCTGAAAGACGGTAACACTAATGTTTGCTCAGCTGTAATTTAAGATGCAAGGTTTAAACTGATGGAGTTAAGTATACACCTAACTTTACAGGTATGTGCCAGGTGAAAAGGAGCTTATCTATTCAGCATAAATAACTAGGCATTCATTTCATTTAAATAGCAGTAAAGGGTATGTGCAGATGAACTATTTACTGCGAGGTAAAGAGAGACAGGGATTTATCACAGCAGCTGCTCTACAGTAACTGCCCCTGGGCACAGTCTTACTCCTATGGCAGATGAAAGCTGAACTGCAGGGCCTTGGGCTTCTTTCATTTCAGTTTTTATTTTCTTTCAAAAGAAAAATGGCCTCTACCGCCTTTGGTTGCAAAGGCAGCCTTGGGACTGCCCCAAATGTAATTGCTGCAGTGATATCTGCGGTTAAGCTGAATGCACAGTTGAGAAAGGTGTGAATGGAGCCTGAAGCCTTTACCTGGTTAAATGTTGCATCCTTAGCGGTTACAGTGCTGATGAAAGTGTGCAACAAAAAGGTGTGCTCCCATTAGGCAGGTCTGCAGAACGTCTCATAAGCAGCGTTCTGCTTTGGTGCTGAGGTGGGGCAGGTCAATATTGCTGCAATATTGCCTCTTCTCGAGGCCTCTGGGATGGTGCCTCTCTCTCTGACCATGTGAGAAATGGGCCAGACCGGAGTGGATCAGGCTCAGCTATTTGAAATTGTATATATCCTACATGTAAAGCTCAGTTTCAACCAGCCCTGTTCAGCTGCTCCTCCAGATGTCCGTCCCGTTCCCTAGTTCTTTCTGTGTGACTGAGCAAGCGCCAGAAAGGATCTTGGCGAGAGTTCAGAGAAAAAGAACGAGTACGAGGCGTCTAGGAAATGTGACCTATAAAGAAAGGTTGAAAGAAAAGGATGTATTTAGTCTAGTCTAGTAAAGATATGACTGTGTAAAGCAGCGGTTCCCAAACTGTGGGTGGCGACCCCAAATGGGGTTGCAGCATCAGCAGATGGGGCCGTGGGAGCCAGGGGCCACACGGAGGAAATGGGCTCGCGTGGAGGAAAAGTTTGGGAAGCACTGATGTAAACGGCTGTCGTGCAAAGGTCCTCATCCTTTGCACAATAGGCTCGGGGGCTTTTCCATAGCCACCAAGGGGAATTAATTAAAAAAAAAAAAAGGAGGCTGGAGATCGGATACTGGTGGGGGGGAAGCTTCTGACTCTCAAGGACGAGTTACACAGGGAGGCTTCAAGGGCAGCTTTGAGAAGCATCTCTCGGGGACCCCAGCCCAGCCCAGACGCAGAGGAGCCGGAGCCGGTGCCGGCCCAGGAGCGAGCGGTGGCCTGGGGGCTCCTCCCGCGGGGCCGGGCTAAGGCAGGGGCCGCCCCGCTCCGCCGCCCGGGGGCTATAAGAGGCGGCGGCGCCGGGCGCGTCCCCG